TGGATGGGTTCAAACCAACAACCTTTGGGGTAGCAGCCAAGCGCTTAACCACTGCACCACCAGGGCTCCTTTGCTAGTAGCTTCACTTCTGAAATTGTAGCCGAAAGATAACATCCCTCCATCCGAGACAGGGCATTAGTAAGACCACTGTTTGCATGGTAGCAAATAGATGTGTGTCCAATCGCTGGCTTCCTCAGCATCCTTCATGTACAGGTAAAACGGGGCCGCTGGGTGATAAACTTGCTGTGTGTCTGTCTACTTTGTGGGAATGACTCAAGGGAAGCTTCTAGACTCTCAGGGAGAAGGTCCAGGGTGAAGGCAGAGAGACAGCGAGTGCCTGGGAGCCATGGCTCTGTTTGTTCCCCCCTGAGAGTGGACCTGCTCAGCCGGTTCCTGGGCCTGCAGCCGGAGCGCCTTCCTGTCCCTCTCCAAGTTGGCAGCACCCAGCCTGGAAACAGGGCACCTGCTAGCTGCCCAGCCCCAGCTTGCAGCCTGCAGGTGGTTCCTCTGTCCCAGCCGCCAGCACCTGCAGGGGCTACAGTCTCCAGTTTTGATTGGTTCCTAAGGACAGAGCTCATCTGAAGTCTGCACCCCAAAGCACGCTTGCCATGTACAATCTGGGGCCACCAGATGCCTGAGGAGTGAGGGACCTCTCAAGCCTTCCTTGTTCTTCCGAAGCTCCCCACATGCACATACTCAGCCTCCTCTCTTAACTAGGGCAGCACTCCAAAGGAGGTGGCCTCAGGGACTGGGGGTGATTCCAGGTGGCTTATCAGCACCCACTCTCAAAGTGGAATTTTAGAGGATCGAGTCATTATGGGGAGGCCTGGTTGCCTAGTGGTTATGCATTGGGCTGCTAACAGATAGGTCGGCAGTTTGAAAGACTACCCAGGAAAGAGTGACAGTCCCAGAAACTCACAGGGACAGCCCCCCACCCCCAGGGACGGCCCCACCCCCACCCCACCCCCGTCCTACAAGGTTGCTGTGAGTCGGCATCGACTCAGTGGCAGTGAGTTTGGTTTGGGTTTTCTGACGTCCAGGAGCACTGGTGGCGCCATGGGTTAGGTATTGGTGTTGGGCTACACAGCAAGGTCGACAGTTCAAACCTCTCAGCCACTCTAGGGGAGAAAGCAGAGGCTGTCTGTGTCCATAAAGACGTACAGTCTCAGAAACACCGTCTATGAAGGGCTGCTCTGAGGCCGTGGTTGGGGAGTCTCCGGATGGGTGTTGTTACCAGAGTTGCCTCCTCCCCTCTAGAAGTGGTTGTTTTGTGCCATCGTCGATTGCAAGTTGCCGCAGCCCATGTGTCAGTGTAGAACCTCCTCACCAGGTTTCCTGGTCTGTGGTGTAGTGGGTACGCGCTGGGCTGCTAACCACAAGGTCAGCAGTTTGAAACCACCAGCTGCTCCGTGGGAGACAGATGGGGCTTTCGACTCCTGTAGAGAGTTCCCATCTCAGAAACTCACAGGGGCAGTTCTCCTCTGTCCCGCACGGTCGCTGAGAGCCGGGTTCCACTCAGAGGCGGCGAGCTTGGCTTTTGGAGTTTCGGCTGTTTCCAGCCACCATGCCAAGAACTTCACTGCCGTGCCACCAGCCTTCTTTTCTAAAAGTAGGTAACGACATTTGGTCAAAGAGAGTGACTCCCATTGGGGTAATGTCCTGTCCCTTTGCACCACAGCCATTGCTGGAGAGCGCTCGGAGTCAGAGTGTGCAGCAGCCTTAAGATGGCCTTGGTGCTCGGTGGTGCCATTGAGTCGGCTCCGGACCCATAATGGCCAGATGCACAACAGAAAGGAGTATCTCCTGGCCCTGCACCGTCCTGTCCTGCCAGAGCGTGACAAAGCAATCATTCCACCAGGCAGCCTCTAGCTTCCCATCTCTGCCTGTTGACATCGAGCCCCTTTTCCTCATTGTGCCCTCTGGCTGACTGTTCAGACCCCCTCTGGGCACAAAGGGACAGGTCCAGCGAGAAAGCAGCTACCTCCAACTCCGTGCCAGGCGGCTAGGTCAGCTGTGCCTTGATCTCGATGGTACTGCACAGAGAGGCTCCCTGAGCTCTGGAGGTCACACAGCCACTGTTGGGGCCCAGAGATGTGGGTGCCAGGTCTCTTCCCGGGGGGTGGGGCGAGACCTGCAGGGCTCTGGGCCTGGCAAGAGCTGCTCACGCCTCCAATCTGTGTGGACAGGAGACTGAAGTCGAGCCTGCAGCACCTCCGGTGGAAAGGGGCCAAGAGCCCGAGCGCTGAGCCCCGGGAGCAGTCCTGCGCCCGCTGCCAGAGGCCGCTCGGGGTCCTGCTGAACCGGGGTGCCGTGTGCCGGGGCTGCAGCCACCGAGTGTGTGCCGAGTGCCGCGTGTTCCTGAGGAAGACCCAGGCCTGGAAGTGCACTGTCTGCTTCGAGGACAGGTAAGCTCCACTACCCAACCACCCCACCTGGCCACACACAATGGAAAAGCTTAGAAAAACACCTGTAGCCAGCAAGTCAAGTCCGACCCACAGCTGCCCCAGGCAGGTCCCAGGAGAACTCTGCTTCCAGGGTTTCCAGTGGCTGGTTTTGGGGGGAAACGGGTGGCCAGACCTTTCTCCCGAGGTGTGCCTGGGTGAACTTAGCCGACAGTCACTCGGCTGGCCGAGCCTGCTAACCATCGATACCCCGGGGGCTCCAATTACAGGCTTCACTCGTCTCAGCCCTCGCCATCACGTTGCTTGCTCTCCAGACAACCATTTACTATAAAGTGATCAGTTTCCCTCTACTTTACCAACATCTGCTGGTAAGGGCTTAAGGGTGGGCTGAGGAGCTCTGGTGACACTGTCAGGGAAGCGGCCGACTACTAACTGCCAGGTCGGCAGTTCAAACCCACCAACTGGTCCTGGGGAGAAAGATGAGGCTCTCTCCTCCTGTGAAGATGCACGGCCTCGTGACCCCCACACGGGGTCTCCGTGAGTCAGAGTCGACATGCGGTGGGTACAGATGGGTCCATCCAGGAGTCAGGATTAATTGCGATTTCTTGACTGGGTGTTTGTGTTTCCAAGGCTTAATTTCTTGCCCTCCAGGAAAACAGAGTGGATCATGACTCGGGATAGGAGAGCTATGCTCCAAACTCCAAACTCCCTGCCCGCGAGTCAATGCTGACTCACACTGACCCTAGAGGCCGGGGTGGAACTGCCGCGGTGGGCTTCTGAGACGGTGCCTCTACTGGAGTAGAACGCCCCGTTTTTCCCCCAATGAGCAAGAGCTGGTGGTTTCGAACTGCTGGTGTTACAGTGAGCAGCCCGACTGGTAACCACTGCGCCGTCAGGGCTCCTAAGGGACTTCTGGAGAGGAGCTAGAAGGGGGTGTGCCAGAGTGAGTCTCATGCACACTTTAAGCTTCCCCGTTGTGGGTTCTTTTTCCTAAGGCTGGATATTTTAACCATCATGTTGAAAACATTAAATAATGTGTTTCAAGAGGACTCGGGTTGTTCCCAGCAAAGGTGAGCCAGCGCATCAATTCCTTGGAAATATAAGGATGGGCTCCAGACATGCGTGTGTGCATGTATGTGTATATGTGTTTGTGTGTATATGTATGTCTGTGTGTATGTTTGTGGATATGGATGTGTACGTATGTGTGTATGCGTGTGTAGATGTATGTGTATATGCATGTATGTGTGTGTATGTGTGCATGTATGTGTGTGTGTATGTATGTGTCTCTGTGTTTGTGTGTGTATATGTGTGGATGTGTATATGTGTGGATGTGTACGTGTATGCATGTATGCATATGTGTATGTATGATCAAACATTCTTCCATCTCAGAACTTAGAAGCAGTGAATCTAGGCGAGCGGCCAGGGACTCTGACCTATGAAAACAGTTCTAAACATCACTGCCAAGGTGTGAGAGTCCAGGACCAGGATGGTCAGACGCCCCATGCTGTGTGTGCGCCGGCCGGCGTCTTTCCCTCCCCAGGGGACAACTGTCCTCAGAGACTTCCAGCCCTGTTGTTCATCGCCACGGGGTCGGCAGCCTTGAGTGTAGCTGAAGGACGCGTGGCCAGGCCGTGTCCACCTCGTGAGCCCATCGTTTCAACGTGTGTGTCCACCCACCAGAGGGAGGCACTCTTGGTTTCTGCGGACCTCCGCTCCTTCACCACCCCCCACCTCCTCCTCCTGTCGTCAGTCTGTCCAAAGCCTCGCCATCCTCTGCTCTGAGGAGAGGGGGACATTGGTCGTCCCTTGAAGCGCCCTGGCCCTTTTCAAGGCTCCATGGAGCTCGGCCGCTCGGCCACAGAGAGGGGACGGTGCTCCTCGGAGCTGTGTGCACCTTGTCTCCCCGGTGGCTGCCAGGACACACTGCTTGTCCTTTGTCTCCGGCTTCTTTGGTTTGCTGAGGCCGAAGCCCTCTGGGCTGGGGGGTGGGGTGGGCTGGGGGTCAAGCTTTTCTGAGAGCCTCGGGCCGGCAGGTCTGGGCTCTTAAGAGGGCAACAACGCCCAGTCATTTTGAGAGAGGCCTCAGCTCTCCTCCCTCAACTCAGTAAACCAAGTATGTCAGCATTTGTTGTTCTAACTGAGACAAAGTGAAAATCCTGCCAGGAGACGGCCCTGCTGGAAGGACAGAGTGGCCGGTGCTCGGTCGAGTTACCCCCTCCGCAGCCACCGTGTGGTTTCTAAAACCTCCAGCTTCCTTGTTTTGAAATACAGATGTTTTTCAAGAGGCCTCCATGCGATTGCGTTACTGCGAGTGAATGGACACAGGAAAGCACAGAGAAAGAGAGCGAAATCAACTACTAACCACCCACCCTTTCCCGAGCCTTTCCTCTTCCACCTGGCCCTGTCCACACCGGGCTGCCGGCCAGAGGGAAGAAGCTGAGACAGAGCGAAAATCCGGTTCCTAGCTAGCCTTTTCCAGCCCAGGCGACCTTGTGCATGTCCGAGTCAGTCTGGGCGCCACAGGGTTTTCGTTTCAGTGGCTGCTTTTTCCAGAAGGGCATCACCGGGTCTTTCTTACAGGGCGCCTCGGGGTGGGCTTCGGCTCCCGACCCCGCCCGCCGATAGCAGCCAAGTGCATTCATGCCCTTGACCACCCAGGGATCCCTGAACAAAAGAGGGCTTTTGCCAAGTGTTAGTGTTTCTGGTCATCAGCACTGGTTCAAAAAGTGTGCCGAAAAACTCCACGGTCCCTTTTGGCCACAAACCTCCCATGTTCATCTGGGTAGACTAGAGAAACAAATCCAGAGACATCCGTATGTGCACAAGAAAGAGCGTTATATACAAGAGCAGTTGCATATTGAGAAAATATCCCAGCCCACTCCAGATCACATCCATAAGTCCCATATTAGCCCATATGTCTGATGCCAGTCTATAAATTCCTCTTCAGACTCATGCAACACATGCAATGATGCTGAGTGCAGGAAGATCACAGGCCAGTGGGTGGAAAGTCTTGTGGATCCAGTGGCGGTGTAAGCATCTCAGTGCTGGCAGAGTTCTCCATGTGGCTCCTCCAGCTCCAGGGCCCTAGTGTAGCTCCATGTGTCTTGTCAGCAGGAATGTCTCCCAGGGAGTGAGCATGTGTCCCACCTCCAGCCAGCTATTTATCTCCTTAGCACCTCCAAATGAGGTCATCAAGCTGCAACCTGATTGACAGGCTAACCGCCACCCCTTCATTCTTAATAGTCTCAGATCGACCACAGATTATGTAACGACCACACCTCCTGAAGCCCCTCAGATGAGGGGACCTGGAGGAGGTTGTCGATGCCAGTAGTTCCTCCCCTCTAACCTGTCCCACTACGGGAGCCTGATGGATTGCTTGAGGATGAGTTGACCCAGGTGGGAATCAGATGAGGAGAAGAGATTCTTTAACGTCAAGAAAAGAGAGCAATCATCCCCGTCACCATCATCAGCAAAGCGCACACACACCCAAATTAAAAGCAAAAGTTGGAGGTTGCTACAGAGTAAGAGACCTGCGGCGCATGCGTGGCGCGGGCTTGTGCAGGGGCGTCCAGTCTTAGGGACAGTGTTCTCACAGAGAGTTTGGTGCTGCGGGTGGGCCCTCCTCCTCAGAGCAAGAGCAGGGTGAGCCAGGGAGGGCTGAGGGCCCAGCGCGAAGGTACAGTGCCCCTGCTGAGTGTCCTCAAGAAGGGCAAGGCTGGGAGGGGACGTGGGCATTGCAAGAGGAGCCCTGGTGGCATAGTGGTTGCCCATTGGCTGCTAACCACAGGGCCAGCAGTTCAAGCCACCAGCCGCGCCTTTGGAGAAAGACGTGTCTTCAACCCCCGCAGCAAGCCACAGTCTCGCAAACCCACAAGTCAGAATCCCCTCGATGGCAGTGAGTTGGATTTTGGTTGAGCATGGCTGGTCGTCTACCTGGTGAAGGGTCAGCCCACTGTCACTCTACAGAGCACTGCTCTCTCATGCATGAGCATCCATCCATCAGCAATTGGGGTAACGGCCTCTGGGGGTGGTGTAGAGGGTAATGTGGCCGGTGACTAACTGGAAGGTTGGCGGTTGGGAGTCCACTCAGGGGAAGCCAACCTGCTTCCGAGAGGCTGTGGCCATGGAAGACTCTACTTTGACATGCAGGAGGCCGGTTGGCTGGAATCAGAATCGACGTGGAGGCCACTGGCCAGGGCTCTCCCCATTTTACAGTGGAGGACACGGGGGCTGAGAGATAGAGGATGGTTTGCCCAAGACGCAGGGTCAGGACTAGAACCCCAGAGCCCAGTGCCTGTTTTTTAATCTCTGCCTTCTCCCTGCTGGGGACAAGGCCTCTCAGAAGAGCGTAGACTGGAGGTATCAGGAAATGGGTCTGATGTCTGCCTTGGACCGGAAGAACCACACCCCACACCTGGCCTTGCTGGCAGGTGGACAGGAGAGGGCGAGGCATGAAGGGAGGAGACCGGTGGCTCTCTGGCCACAGAGAGCCTGGGGGACGTTTCAAACAAGGATGTTGGAAGTTGGTTTCAGGGATAACGAGAAGCAGGCGTGAGTGTGACCCTGCGGTGGAGATGTGCCTGTGGTTCTGGGAAGACGGGGACTCTGTTGTGACTCTCCTGAGTCTGACATGGCAGAGGACCAGAGCGCACGTTTCCGGAGACCCCGTGGGTGTGGAACAGGCTATTGAAGCCCACGTCAGATGGAGGGGGTGCCTCTGATCTGATTTTGAGGGTTAGGGTGGAAGCTCTGGAGGTGTCTGAGGATGCTCAGAGAAGGATTGTCTTAGCTGCATGCCGAGCGAGGAGCCCTGGCAGGTGGGGGGAGGAAGCCTCAGACCCTGCCAAGCCGGAGTTGTGGAGGGGAGGCTGTCCATGTGTGTCAGGGCAGACTGTGCTTGGGGGGTTCTGCTTTCTTTTGAACCCTTCTCTGCGGTTTGGGTGAAGGCAGGCACGCAGAGCAAGGTCTTTCCCCTCCAGCAACCCGTGTTTTGTCTCCTGACA